TGTTTTTTTTTTTTTTTTTTGTTGATGTGTACATTGGGGCGTCCGTGTCGATCCTGGACAACAGCGATAAATCTCAATAATTTAGTGTGTAGATTTGCACAACATATAGATTTTAATTGATACAAACTAATTACATTTTACAGTCAATTTGAATTTTCCATTATTTCTAAATATTTATTTAATTTAAATATGTTTCGTAAATATTTATTTAATTTAAATATGTTTCATGTATCGTTTTAAATGTTATATATAAAGATGTGTTTTCTCGCAAAAAAATATAATGTAAATTTAGAATACCTTCACGAAAATTATAATTAATATTTATAATTTTTATTTGCAACATTAAATAAAATTTTGTTTAACGGTAAGAGATATGACGATGATTATATTTATACACATAATCGACAATACTCCCAAGTTTTTACAACAAAGTATGAAGTTTGTTATCAACAAAGTGCATAGACGAGAAGGCCCATTGTTGCATCGCTCTCGCATTTAGAACGGCTGAGAACTGACATGCACTAAACTAAAGCCACTTCCTGTTACTCTCTCATTTTTTCCCGGGCGTCAAAGTTGCGAGCAAGGTAGGATGCTGCTCGACGAGGCAATTACTTTTAAGCGGTACTGCGGTGTTCAAGACTCGTCGGAGAACGTTATCCTCACCCTCGGATAAGCTACTTTCTTTGTAATTGACTAAAGAAGGGGGAGTTGCAGGCATTAAAATGAAGATAACAATAAGCCCTCTAATTACGAGAAAGATAATAAATGATACTTTAAGTATGTATTGTAATGCAACAGTTAGGAAACAAGAATTTTTTATAATAGAAAAATGTAATTTTAAACTACATTTCTTTTGAAGAATTTTTATTTTATTTGGAAATGTTTATACTATAACTTCAGCTACGTAGGATTTACAATATGAACATTATTAAAATTTTATATAATTATTAAGATTGAAATATTATAGCTTAGCAATTATAATATTTTTTCATAATGTGTTACTGCTTTTTTACTATTTTAACGAATTTTTCCAGTATTATTATTTTTTTCTATAACTTTCATAAAACCGTGTTATTAATAATATATTACTTTTAATTATTTATAAAAATAATAATAAGCTTTTTAAACTTAATATTTGATATAATATATATACTTGAGATATAATATCTCATTTATAAAATATTAACAAAAGCCGATTCCTATATTTATATTTATTTATTAAAAACTTTTACATTTTTATCATCATTTGTATTTTATTTAATTATTGAGATATCGACTGTATAACCAGGATCGACGACGCTTCCGCTCGTGCCTCGCAATCGTAATTTAAGGCAACATTAAGATTCAAGCGTGCAGTGCGCGCACACAAAACGTAAGTATCTTTACACACATCACACGCATGTGTGACAAATGTGTCTCTTGCGTTGCGTTTGACGAATGAAGCGCGCCAACGATGCATATGCGAGCGATGAATGCGGCATACACATTCTATCTACGATATAGCATTAACATTTGTGGAATGCGTGACTGGTCGAGAGCAGTTTTGCAGCACGGAAACATAAGCGAACAATTAGTTATTACGGTAACAATGTTATAACGTAATTAACCTCGACGCTACACGAACATAATGTACAAACATTTCGGTTTAGCTCTCGACGGGGCAAACTACTTTACTTCACGAAGAAGAAATCCTGCGTCTCTTTACCGCAATTTCGAATTAATTTTAAATATTATACATTACCTCGATGACAGCTCAGCCATAACAAATGCAAACTAATATAATTTAGCGACAATTCTCGTAGCGAATTCAAATGGCAAATGCCTCTTACAACCTGGAAAAATTATTTTTTTTTCATCCATGAACCAATAAGTTCGAAACAATTAGTACAAGGAAAAATATTGCACCGAAGTAAATAATGTACTAAAAATTTTGCAAATTGATAGATAGAATTTTAAATTGGTGTTGGGAACGTTATTTGTCTCTCGTATAAACGTATAATTTGTCTCTCGTATTCAACTTTGTTCACTGTCGAAGATTTTATCGTTTTGCTCATATACATATGATTATTATAACTAAAAGCACAATTATTATTAATCGCAATTTCTCTCAAAATATATACAAATATTTGTATAATATAATTATACTTTCATAGCTAATTGAATAATATACATATTGTACTTTCGAGTATTTCCATCCACGTTTGAAAAATTTTCAACAACTATAGAATATATCTGATAATTATAAATATTTACGGATAGAGGACTTTTTTAAATTTTGCTTTAAGAAATTTTCATATGCCTTTAAAAGCAAATTGATTTTTTAGTTACTGTTTCTCTCTCCCATGCAAGCTTAAAAATAAACTATACGTTCGAGCCGCTGTAATGCCAAACGACTCGTCTGATATGTAAATCTGGATCTTGAATTGAAATTGGAAGCGCGACTTTAAATGGGCCGGCCCTTTGCCATACTCCATTCTTCTTTCCCCAAGATATCGAACAACTAGACGGTAGGTGTATGAATAGCAATGAGGGAGAAAGGAGAACGAGAAAGGAGAAGGAGTGCCGCTCCAACACGAAATTTATTTAAACGCTCGAACTACTTCTCCGCAATCGAATTAAATTACTTCTTGTTGTTGCAAACGATCGAATCTTCGACATGAAGAAATATTCCAGACTTGCCTTGTTACTCAATCGTGTCTATCGATCATTCAATTACGTTTCTATCTTTTTGCGAATTGCAAATTAATCAGAAAGAATATATTTGGCTGATCGATATAGAACAGTCTCCTCATGATTATACGCGGTTTAATAGCCATCTGTCATCCAAATGATAGATGACAATTATGTTATCACTTAAATACTATTTAGTAGCTATTGATAATCATATCTATTAATAATCATATCGAGCAAACGAGAGGCGATTGTCGTTAAAATTCAATAATTTTAATAAAAATTAGACGTGAATATCACATTTTAAATTCTCTACATATCATTCTAGACATATTAAATCAATAATTCAAAAATATAAAATATAATTTTTATTAAATTCGGGATATTTATAAACGAGTTCAAAATTTAATTTTAAAAGATCAAATTAATTTCCATCTATATTCTGATATATATATACATAAGTCTTAATTATTGTATTATATATAGGTAATTACTTATTTATTAACTTTTGTTTAATAATAAATTTTATCTTTTAATTTTATAGCTGACAATGAGTAGGTATAATAATTTTTAATTTTTTTCACGTATAAAATATTATTAATAAAATTAATTTTCTTTTATGATATTGTATATAGAAATTAATATACAAAAAGAGAACTTTATGTCTTATGAAATAAGATTAATATACTAAAAAAAATCTTGTTATGAATTTCGTTTATTAAATCTGTAATTGATTGCAAAAATGTGAAATATTTAAACTATTATTAGTAGTGGTCACTTGTTTTAATAATAGCATTTACAAAATTTTTTAAGCACTTAAGTGTTTGTTTTTTTAATAATAAAGTATTATAGTTTTTCACACAATTATTTTTTCACAATTTTGCTTATTATTTTAAAAATCTAACTGTCTTTTCAGTAAGAAAGAAATCTGATTCCAACGAGATCGTCGCTCGATTGTTAATCTTGGACACATAACATTTCAAAAGTGCAATATTTCTAGTAACGTGCGATGTTTCAATATTGACGGCTTTGATAGCTGACATCTATCCGAATTCAACAGCCATGATATTTGAGAGATATTTTTACCATGTTGCGTAAAAGTACGAAAATTTTCAAAATATGAGGCACTAAACTCTTTCTATAACTGTCATATCTCTCTTCAAACATCACCAAAGCTTCCAGCTATCTTGGTTATCGCTGGATCTATTGCATCTTACGTTACTCATCCGAGGTTAATAAAAAGAAGCACACCGGCGCAGCGGAGCACGAGACACTCAGAATCGAAGACGTCTCGAGACGTTCGATCGTTACCTCGAAGGGGTTCGTTGAGAGGGGCGGGGGAGTGTCCTCCTCTTGTCCCCGCTTGCCGGTCCGGTATACGAGAGGAAGACGTTTATTTCCCCCCCTCTCCTCCGATAGAGGGTAGCCGGAGGAATCGCGCGCGAAGATCGATCCTCGAAATCCCGGAACGCACGAGAGAAACGTCTGCACGAGAAAGCGCACCCCGGCACCCCCCATGAGGACGCACTCCGCCCGGGGAGGATTCGCATTCCGAGACCAATATCCTTGCCGCCGTCCTTGGAGGCTATCCCCGAGAGTGTCTCTCGTCTCATCCGTCTGCGATCCCGCAGTACATATGTATATATATACACATATAGATATATTTCTACTTCGTGCCATATATACGCCATGAATATTTCGACGCGCGATCGCTCGCGCCCTATCGACAAACATCCGCGAGATAAATCGACGAGATGGGGAAAACACTATCGATACGAAGCGCCGTCATGGGAATATTGCTGCATAATATTCGCGATTGTGCGACTCTTAGCTTAGACGGATTCGCTATTCTAATATTAATGGCTGTATTTCATCGAGCATAACGATGTATCTTTGGACACATTTTATCGAATTGATTTATTCCCTTCCACAGTCTCTATGAATAATAGACACAAGGTATTTTCATGGTTTGATTATTATTGTACACCGCGCAATTCATTCTCTTATTTATTCATTCCCTTTTCTAAGTTTTCACGTTGCTCTAAATCCAAACTTTTCCAATTTTGTATCACACGTTTATGGCGTCATTGACTTATCAATTCTTTTGTACTGCTGGATCTACTGCGATAAAATGATTGGCAGAATTTGATCGCTCGCATCGACACCCACAATTTTCCTTTATTGTCATAAATCCACCACGACGAATCTCTACGTCACGATCGGTCAAGATTGCTCGCATCGTGAAATATGAAACGCGAACGCTTGACGGATGAAGCGCGAGTCCAAAGTGGAGGCGATAAGCCTCCCGGATGATCCTACGGGGCGGAGCGCACCAGAAATCGTGCACCGCATGTCGTACTTCTGCATGCTGAGAATCCGCACTGGAGAATCGATGAATCGGCACCCGCATGCCTGTAACTTACAGCTTGTTTTCTATCTAAAATGTGTAGCCTGTTAGTGTGTGTAGTATGCCTACTACGACTCTATCTACTCTCTGTACTCGACTCACTATACTCTCCCCTTCGTTCCCCAGTATCGTCGAACGATTTATCGAAAGACACCAGATCGTTATCAGACTTTATCCGACGACAAATGAATCGCTTCAACGATTAAAATAAGTTTTACTATTTTAATAAAAATAAATTTGTCTCTAAAATATTTAATGTCCTTTCTTTATATTCTAGTAAAAATATCCAATAGGTAAGTATAGCAAAGTATCTTGTAAAATTTTCTGTTTTATAAACATATGTTTTGTTTGAAAATATAAAAAATGAATAATCAAGAAACTAATTGAGTAAACAAGTTGAATTCTGATGATACATTTAATCCTTATCAAAATTAAAATAAGTTTTATTATTCGTATATCATCTAACTCAATAAACAAGATTATAAATTTATGTGTATTCATAATATCTTTATTTTTCTTAATTACAAATCTACCAAACTCGCAATAAAAGATTTTCAAAATAAAGAATCTAACATGACGATTGAGAAAGAAGAATAATATAATTAAGTCGCGTGAGAGAGGGAATGGTACGCACGGTGCGAATAATTTATTCGGATCTCTATTTCGTTTGCGAACGATCGACGTGGAACAGAAGGTTAACGCTCCTAGTCTCGGCAGCCTTGCGACGATCCCTCGGGAATCCCAAAATCTCTTAAGAACAAAATCACGCTCGACGAGCACCGCGTCACTCCGGGATAATTTCTCGCGTGCAGTAACGCTCAATGCGAGGATCCCTCGGTTCTGAATGGAGTTTCAGGTTTTGGTGAAATTCCCGAAGGAGCCCGAAGATCCTCTCGCGGGGATACGATGGCGCCGGGTCGTCTGTCGATTTCGATTACCGGCCAGTTCGTTTAACTTTGTATTCTTGCCGGCTCTTTATTTTTCGTATCGCACCATCGCGCCCGATAAACGAAAAAATACCAACATCGTCGCGAGATTTACGATGATGTTTGCGGCTCGTTAATAACGCGCTCGAGATAACTTACAATTGGTTAATTACGGAAGTAATAGTTTAAGAACGTCGAAAGTGCCGATGATAAAAATGTGAGCTTCGATAAAATAAATTTCATTGACCGAATCAATTTGAGACATTATAAGCATGTAGAAAGTGTAAATGTAAAAGTGCGATAAAACCGAATTATATAATTGACATTAAAAGGATTGAATTCAAGGATTGGTTCTGAGGATTGAACTTGAATTGGTTTCGATTGAATCGTGAATTGGTTTAAATGGTACTTACCATTTCCTCTCAAATACCATTTCATGATTTTCCGAGTGTATTTGCGTTTGTTATCTCTTTCGCAAAAGCAATTGGATCAAATTAGTTTCATGCCAGTTGAAAGTTTAAGAATTAAAAGCGAATTGTAAGAAAAGTGGATTTTTCAATTAAAGGAAAGAAGATATCTTGCGTTGTTATTTGCCTGAGTATATCTGTGCTCGATATTCCTTTTAAAGACGATTTGTAATAATATATTCTTTTTTTTTTTTTTTTTTTTTTTTTCTACAGAACTCGATTCAATTTCCACAAGTAATTTGAGATACAATAAGTAAAATAAATTAGTCAAATCTTATTTTATAAATATATGATTAACTTTTACAGTATTTAATAAATCTAATAATGCTGAAATTTTTTTATTGCGAGTATATTAAGAGAAAAGAACCGGTTTTTTGTTCTTTCTTACTAATATGTTATCTCAGTTATCAACGTATTTGGAATGATTAAAAATGCAGATATATTAAAAGTGCGATACGACAAAGTGGGATTTTTTAACTGGCTATTAAAAGAGAATCCAATAATAGCAAATTAAATTACCTATTCATTTACGGACGTTTTAATTTCTTTTATTGCAATTTCTCTGAATACATCCGTGTGTTTGATATTTATTTCAAAAACAATTGGATATCACGGTCTGCAACGAAGCATTGTTCGTTGATTATCTTATTTGCAATGTGGTACAATTGCCCGGGTTTACTTCCGCGTGTATATCTCCTTTCTGTAATTATAGTTCTGCGTACAATATTGCTTCTTTCAGTATAATTTACCTCATATACTTGACATATTCATTTCGCTAAATTTTCAAATATAGATCAATAGAATGAGAGTATTATCATATTTCCTATCGTTTATAATTTTGTTCCTCGATTTTTCCATAACAAAAGTATTGAAATAACGTGACAAAGAAAGCGATTATACATAGAAAAATTTTCTCAATTTAATATTCACTGACAAAAATATAAACTTTGCGCAAAAAATTGGCTCTCTCTCTCTCTCTCTCTCTCTCTCTTTTAATAAAATATTTTCTAAAAAAAATCACTATTAATAAAACAACTCATAAATTAAAAAAATGAATATAAATATATAGTAGGACGTTTTCTAAACAGAATTGTATATGATACCGAAAGTATTAATATTTTTTAAAGTAAATGTTATTAAATAATGAGCAGAATGAAATACTATATTTAAGCGGACAATATAATTTAGATTTGTTTAGAAGATGATTGATTTAAATGCGTTTTTTATTGAACATCTCACAATTGTTTATCGTTTTCTTTATAATATTTATTCCTTTCCTTTTAATTTATATCTTTCCTAAAGAATTCGCCTTCTAAAAAAAATTTTCGATACTTATAAAATTTCTAAAGAAACACGAATGTATAGTATTTAGTAATTGAAACGTTCCTAAATAATTTGCGATATGTAATGTTACATATTTACGTTTACTCGTTCTTGCATCTAACATTTTGAAGCATCGATAATGTTAAAAATCTATGCGATTCTTTAGGTCGCGATAGATACAAGCTTATTCTCTAACGATATCGTGCCGAAATCTCCTCTTCGCGACGATCCTTTGTCAATGTCCCGTGATGCCAATGCACCATAATTACCATCATCACCACCACCATCATCATCACTGTCACGACACTACCCTACAACAACAGCACGCAGACCCCGCACGTTGCGTTACCGATGGCGAACGCGCACCCTCACTCACTCCGTTCTCGTCCGCGGCTCTGCTTCTGTGTTACAGAGGTCCTGCCCTCCTCCACCTCCGTAGACCTGTCGGGCACGGATTCGGCCCTGTACCCGTTCGACCCGCAGCAGGAGAACTACCAGGAGATCTGGTTGCCACCGACCAGTATGTACCCCTATTTTCTGTTCCCCGGGACCGCGCGCACCCCATCGTACTACGACCCCGACAGCACGTACGACTTACGGGAGCCCGGCGACCGACGCCAAGACCACCACCGTCACGGCAATCGGCATCATCATGGCTACCAGGAGGCGCCGGAAATACCCGGCAATCCAGCCGTCCTCGTCGTCGAGACGTACGATCCTCGGATCGATTTACACCGGTACCAAACCGATGTGAATCGGTACGAGGATCGTGTGGCGACCTCGCGTCCTCCAGGCGCTGATCATCCGGATCGATCGACAGATAGATCTTCTTCCTCCTTCTCCTCCTCTTCTTCTTCTTCTTCTTCCTCTTCTTCTTCTTCTTCTTCTTCTTCTTCTTCGTTGTCCAAGCATGATCGCGTCTCCAGCACAGTGCACCTGCAGCCCCAAAGCGAGCATGACGCGCACCTGCACCAGCATCGGCACCAACACCACCATCACCAGCACCACCACCATCGTGAGCACCCTGCACTACCTGCACCACCGTCTGTCGTCGCGACGCTGTCGTCGTCGTCGGCGGGCTCGTATGCGTCGGCGGCCGCTCGTCCCACGCCTACCGTGCTGGACGAGCCGTTAGGGGCACGCGGGCCCGGCCACGCCGAGCCGCCCCGGCTTCCGGCCCAGAGGAAGTTCGCTCCCAGGCCTACCTACGAGCACCGCGCGATCGTCGACGACGACGATCTCGATGACGAGTTCAAGCCAGGCGCGCTGCCCGTCGACCGGCTCTTCGATCCCCAGATCTTCGAAGGGTTCGTCGACCAAGGTTCGTACTGGGCCCACCGAGGCGCTCAAGGGATCTTATTTTGAGAAGGGCGCTAGCCAGAGATACGTTAAGATACTCTGGGAGAAAACGTCAAACCGCGCGAGTATGTCGAGCACTGCGATGGACACAATCGTGTCTTTTCTTGAATCATACTTTGACAACGGCAGATTCGAGAAATTAGAAACGGAGGAAAGTGAACTGACGGTATGAAAAATTTTTAAGTAGAATTGGAAATGATCGATCGAGATAAAAAAGCTGTTAAGTTTAATTATTAATTACGATAATTAATCAACAAAAAAAATTTTTAGAATTTATGTTTCCTTAAAATTACGAATATATAATTGATATGAAAAATGGAAATATATTTATAATATCCATCTATCTGTCAATGTAATCCGCTTCGATAATTTAACAGCAAAAGGAACTGATTATTTATGTACAATAAATGCATGTACAATGAATATAGAATAGGTAGGTTATGGATAAAGATATATATTTGACGCTGTCTTATAATATTACAATAGTAACAAAGAGAATTAATGTGAATGAATTTTTGATAGCAAGATGGAGGGACGATTAAAAATTTAAGTTACTAATTAATACATTCTTTTATAATTCTTAGCTTACCACATGGAATTATTTTGACGCACTTTAGAGATAATCTTTTAATTTATTAATAACATTTTTTCAAAAATATTAGAATTTATAAGTATTTTATTTTGTTTTAACGTAATAAAATAAAATTATTAATTACGTTAATATTAATATAAGCAATCAAATTTAAAAAATCAAAGAGTAAAGTTTAATGTTTTTTATACAAATATTATAAAAAGTGAAAAAAAGAAATGTTAATATTATATAAGATAATATTTTTATTATAGACATGGGATATTATTATTATTAAAACAGATCTCGATTATTAGGGAAATATTCATCTTAAGTGTTCTTCAATATTTTGAATTATCTCATAGACTTCTTTTCTTATTTATTAATAAAAAAAAGGAATGAATTTTGTTGCAGATGAAAGGGCAATAACTTCTTTGCTTATTTCTTTATTCAGCAAAAAAAAAATTATTTAATGCACCTGAGTGCACTTAAGACGGGTCAGAAAGTCGTGATTAATCATTTGCCTCGTTCTTGCATTCTGATGCGATTGCAGCAGCTGGGAAGAAAAAGCTTTCAATTTCGTTGCATTAATTTCTCAGACTCGTCGCATTGCGCTGCGGCATCATTCACAGCAAATTTCGTGCATAAATATTTTCGTAGATTATTCAAAGAAGATGCTTTTGCAATTTCGCAACGACTTCCGCGTGCAATTTTACTCGCGAGTAGTAGCTGTAATTTCAAATGGGCGCGATTTCCCTATAATTTTCAAAATTGCGCGCGATCGCGATTTTTCTTCCGTTTCCTCTTTATAAGGGAGATGGATGAAAGATCCTGTTAAAGGACGTCCTCTTTCGTGTGGATTTATTGCGAAGATTGCATTCTCTATGCGCAACTTGTTACGCTCGGTCGTTTACAGTGAAGGTCATCGCCCATCCTGACAATTCTACCAGCTTCGAAGTGATTGAGTCGCAATTGGAAAATCCACTGATTGACGCTAAGCATCGGGATCTACTCACCATGAAGCAAATCCCTATTCCAATCAGTCATCATCATCGGATTCATCACAAGAGAAACCAAACCGATGATCTCGAACGTGAGTTTTTCATCGCAATTGTAATCTTGTTCTTAACATGTTAAACAAATTAATATGCTAATAGATTATTTTTTAAAGAATGTGGCCATATGTGCGATTAAAAATGGATATTGCATCTTGTGAAGAGTAAATGTGACTGATTTAATTTGACTTGATTTTCGACTAAATATAAAATTAAAACAGTATGATGATAATATAATGATCTTAGAAATATATGTATATCATTAATAATATATATTCTTTTCATTATACATATAATCTAAAGATATATGAATTATTTTAATTTTAAAATTGCTTATAATATTATATTTATTATCAAATACACATTTCATAATTTAAAAAAATTGAACTATTTAAATTGTCTTGTGTGCTCATCGTTACCATGAACTATCTTATGCGAAATGACGCGTGAAAACTGAACTGCCAACGACTGCATTCTTCGATATTCACGCAATTGGCCGCAATCAGCACAAGTAACAACGCACCTGATGCAGGATCATAAATTGTTCCACCAAGATGATCACTTCTGCTTGTGGCGGTGGGTTAAAAATGTTGAAAATGTCGCAACATCACTGCTGCACGTCATGGAAAATTCCATTTGTTTTAATGTGCCGCGCAAATTCATATCTTCCTACAAACTGCCCGCGACAGCATACCGTTGATGGATACGTGAGTTTTGTACGAGGAAAAACCTCGAGAAAATGGATATATGAGACTATTTTTATGTATATGACTTTCATCGTTGATTGTGATGCGGTAATTGTCATTAGTTTCGACAAACAGCAATAAGTCGTTTTATACAAGATATTGCAAATGCTTTATTTCTCATCTTTATAAGGCATAGAAATAAAATACAGAAAAAATTGTGCACTCTTATTAAAAAAAAAAAAAATAAAATAAAAATTGATTGTTATACGCGAGAAATAAATGTGATGCAGTAAACATTTTTTATTCAAATCTGTTTGCATATTGCAAATACAGAAAGCGAGATAAATAAAAGAGAAAGAGAGAGAGAGAGAGAGGGAAAGTTTATCGTATTACAATAGAATTTTGAAAATGTATAACATAATATTAAAATTTATATGACATATACCTGCAGAAAATATTAATTACATTGCGGTTGGGTAAATTTTCGCGTTTCCGACATAGTTTTTCGTGTTCCTGACAGAAAAAAACATATCCGTTTCAATATCGAATAGTGATAATTAATTACAATAGAAATGCTTCCCAGTGAACCGATTCAATGCACCAAAAAGTGAAATTCATTAGTTTTCATGCAAAAAATATATTTTCATGTGCAAGTTTATTACATACCGAATAAATAAATTGCTTCATTTGGTATATATATATATATATATCGAGATACCTGCAAAAACTGATTTTATAAGCTTTTATTTCTTTACAGTATTTTATTTTAAATGTTTCTATTTTATTTATTGTATATGTTGTATACATAGTTTTATTTTATTATTTAATTATAACTAATTAAATAATTACATATATATGTATATACCATACATTACATACTATACTATACTATAAAATTAAAATTATGCAAATATTATCCTAAAAAAGTTATATAATAAAAATATAGCGAGAAAAATATATATTATATTACTTCTGCATACAATTAAAAAGAAAACAAGATTATATAATACTTAACATAAATATATCAACTACAGCTCAGTTTTTTTAGAAACTTTATAAATAGAAAAAGTTTCAGAAAGTATATATATAGAAAAGAACAAAAATATAATATCAACAATTACTAATCTGCGAGTAATCAAGATAAATGATAGAACGGGCAAATAATAGGAATTAATCTTCAGATTACTTCGACGATCGCGATCTTTCGTCGACGCGATGAAAGAGCGGGCGATCGATCGCATCTCCAACGTAATATCTCGCGAAGATATCACCTCAACGAGTAAGATTTATCGCGGCGAAAGTTTAATTTAATTTCGACTCTCTCTCCGGTTGCTCTCATTTCCTGCCGCTTCTCGTATCTCTTTTGCGCGTCCGCATATTATTTCTCAAGCCGCCGGATTTCGAACTTTAATCCGCCATCGTGCCCAAGATTTGCCCAAGTTTTCGTCGTGTTCGATATTATACTACGGTTTTACATACAGTGATCGCCATTTCTCGGACACGAGAGAAACTCGCTTGAAACAGCAAGTGCATTCACTTGATTTTTCATTCGTTATTGATTAAAAGAAATAATTTTTGTCAGGAGATTAATTTTGTTCTGTCTATATTTTCAAGTTTTCTTCGTATTTATTTGTATATGGTACATTCAACTAAAACACAGATAGAAACTTTTATGAGACAACAATTTATAGTCACACATACATACACTGCTTTTTTAATTTTACTAGAACAACACAGGCGCGCGTTACGCGCATGCTATTTTTTACGGACATTTTCCAATTTTTTTGACTTTTCTTTCCATATATACATATATCTAAATCTAAACTTTTTAATAATTCTTTTATAAAATTTTAGATTGATTAATTTAAAAACATTACCTTTCATTATATATATATAAAGATTTATAAAAAAGTATATATATATAAATCTAAACTCCTTTTGTAAAACTAAATCCTTTTATAAAATCTAATTCTATCAATTTAAAAAAATTATCTTTTTTTTATATTTCAAGTTCCCTTTCTAACTTTTTAATATATATATTGAAATTTAGTTTAAAATTAACATTTTAATTAAAATAATAATATTTTAAATTGAATTAAATTTTAAACCTTTAAAGTTTAATAATCCTTTTATAAAATTCAGTTTTATTAATTAGGGGGGACTAAAAAGCTAAAGGGGGTCCCATAAACTTTATGGTTCCCCTTCTAACTTTTTAATATATATATTGAAATTAAGTTTAAAATTACCATTTTAATTAAAATGATAACATTTTAAATTGAATTGAACTTTAAACCCTCAAAGTATAATAATCTTTTAATAAAATTTGGTTTTATTAATTAGGGGAGACTAAAAAGCTAGAGGGGGTTCCATAAACTTTTTGGTTCCCTTTCTAACTTTTAATATATATATTGAAATGTAGTTTAAAATTACCATTTTAATTAAAATAATAACATTTCAAATTGAATTAAACTTTAAACCTTCAAAGTTTAAAATAAAAAATGTATATTTTTATAAATTTTAATATATACATAATAAAAAAAAATGAAGAGTTTGTGGAATTGCGAATTTGTAACTGCAAAAATATCTTGACTCCTTGTTACTTCCTTTGTCAAATTTATACCATCAAAACCTATTTTTCAACAATTTTATTTTATGTTAAAGTAGAAATACCAAATAAAGAATTTTTATTTGCAATGTAGTCTAACTATTTCAATCTCTTCAATCAAATTACATATCTGCAATCTGACAAACTTCAGAGCTAAATTTCTAAATATATAAAGATTTGTTTTCTATTATTTGCTCAATCTAATAAATCATATAAAAATTTGCTCACAAAACATTATAGCATTTGGAATACTACCAATTGATAGTAGATATCGTACTTTCGATGAACATCAGCGCTTATTTATTATAATTATAATAGTAGTGCATTTATTATAATTATAATAGTACATTTGTTTAGTCTCGTCGATAACGATTTGTGTCTACGTCACGTATCCATTTATTTGCACGTTGTCATGTTCAAGGGAATGACGAACGTAAAAAAAGAAGAAAAATAATGAAAAAAACACGCGTGCACACGTATCCAGATAGACACATTGAAATTCTGCTGCACCAATTAACACCACAAAAAAAAACAACTAGTAATTAAAACCGTATCTAATATCTCGCGTTACGCGCGCTTTTCTCGTCAATTAACAAATTCTTTGGCCAGTTTCTTTTTAATTAGTTAACATTGCGATATGATATCTATCGTCTATATACATTTTCGGCATCTGAGTAGTTAAAAAACCAGAAAAAAGTTAAGTATAAAACCCATTTTTTAAAAAACATGTAAAGTTGATTACTCGAAAGTATCGAAGCTTTATAATATTGTTGTTTCTTTTCCTAAAATAATAAAACAGCTGAAATGTATAATATAATACATAATGCGAGCTATAAACTTAAAAAATCTTTTTTTATTTTAATTTTACTAAAACAAAATAAAAGATTTGAGAAATATAAAAATATATTTCAAAGCCAAGAAGGTTAATCATGCTTATCTTGCAGCTTTAAAACTGGGATCTTTCCGTTATATTTTTTTCTAAAAAGATAAATGTCACAGTTTATTGGAAATAACATAGATAAACTAATTTAGACTTTTCATTGGTTAAAATACAATAATATGACTATATGATAAAATACAATAATATGACTTTTCATTGGTTAAAATACAATAATATTAGACCGTTGGTAAATTTTTTGTCTGACATCATGCTATAAATAACAGTCGCGATTAGCCAGTGTTTTTGGCACCAGCGCAGATCTTGTTTCTCTATAATTATTGCTGTAACTAATTGCCTGCGCGACCAATTAACGTCAAATATGGGAAATGCAATTGCGATCGGGAAACGCTTCTCGCTCAGCGCTTTGCGCATTTCTTTAAAGCGATTTTCTCTCAATTACAGCTGCGCTAATTACTCGGTTGGCCGATCAATTACGGATATTTATTGCGGTTTCACATATATAAATAACTGATATAAAACCGAGATGTGCTCTACGATAGTAAGCTAATAATTAATTAGCACACAATTAGTTTGCTCGCTTCTTTATTAATTGTCACATTTGACGGATTGTGTATTTTCCCTTTTATTTTACATATTAAAATAATTTGTTATATATATAACCATTTTATTAAAAGAACTACCAAATTATATAACAGTATTATTATATAATGTAAATTATAGAGAAAAGTTTTTCTATCTTTATTTGATTTCTTTGTTTCTTTTTCTCTTTAAACTTGGTTTCTTTATATATTCTTGAGTTCTTTATTACATTTAATTATATATACGTATATATATATATATATATATACACACATATATACACATATTCATACAAAAATTTCGCCTTCTCGAGTTTTTTCGAGCGTATTCTCATTTTACAGA